AAAAAATGTCTACGTGTACATGAAAGTACAATGTTACGTATCTTGCAAATAATAAGAACTTTAGGAGAATGAGTGTTATGTAACACCACATATGACAGTTACCATAACTGATTCTGGGGGGGGGGGGGGGATCAGAAACCTTTAGTCATTGTCGTCAACATTAATCTCTACTGTCTGTATGTCTCAGCTTATGTACAATTCAGATGCCATTATGCCAATGTCATTGCTATACTGCAATACCGTGAATAGGTTAAAATCATTTTTTGAAGTTTGCTTGGACATCCACTCAGTTTATGAATTATGAATTGACACTAAGTGTTATCAACCATGGACTATTAAGACAGCGTCAGTAAGTAGAATATTCACCTAGAGTATTATAAGTCTCATTATTTCGCGTGACAATAACTTGATTCACGGAACCAAAGGACTGGTCTAAGGAATAAAAATATTTATAGAATTTTTTGACTTCAATTTATACACTTTCCAATGGAACACATTCGGAGAACCAAGAGCATAAACTGCCTAGTTATACTAGCAGGTTAAAAAATTTTCACAGAAGAATCAAGTTACTAAGCATAATTGCATTATAAGCCAACAATTCTTGGAATAAAGAAAGACAATAAAACAGAGAAAACAAATGAAATGAAAATGAAATATTCCTGAACAAGAGGGACGCGAGGAAGAGGGTTTGTGTCACGGAGGCAACCGGCAACAGGAAAAGTGTCTGAAGAAACAATCATTGTCAACTTACCTGAACATTTCTCGTACAAGCTTAGATGTTTCAATCTGAGACTCTTCAGCCCACCTTACAATTGTACTAATTAATATTTTTCTGAAAACCTCTGTAACAGTTACATAAGATGGTTAAACAAGATATAATAAAACTAGTAAAAAGCCCATTTAAATTCAATGGGGAATCTTTCATATCCAAATCCCTCACTCTCTCTTCTTCTCCTTTATCCTTTTGTATCTTCTTCAAACCTTTCTCCCATCTCTCTTTCTTACTTTCCTTAATCCATTTCATACCTTCTTTCCTTCTTTTACTCGTATTCATTTCCAATCCCTTTCACATATCAGTATCCTTGAACCTTCCCATCCTTCGTAATAACCGAACCCCTCTTTTTAGTTCACACAACACATCACAGCGACTACTTCACTTTTACAAATTATCATCATGCGGATATTTGACATGGAAAAATTTAATCTCAAGATGCTACATAATGTGGAAATTATCAAATTTAATCAAAATTCACTTATTCCGTTCTTGAGTTGTTTCATGAATATGGGCAAATGGACTGAGTGATTTTAGAAGGTGTTCCTCAAAGTTGCAAACACACCTAAACAGGATAATAAATAATGATAAATACCAAAACAATCACAGCTCATGATAAGCAATAAAACTGTCCCTAACACATTGCTGGGATTATGTAATAAGACTTAGGACTAACAGCTTACCTTCTGGTGATTTCTTTAAAGGTTCTTCTACTTCTTTGGGTTCTATTTCCCGTTCTTTCACAGAATTGATAAAATTAAATAAACGCTTGAATGGGCGAGACTTCGCCACATCTGCTGCGAGTTCCTGAAGAAAACATGAAAATTCCTAACTGGTGACCACTCTTGACAGCTTATCACAGCAATATGGACTTCCCTTACAGCAAAACAATACACCATCTTCACCTCACCTCAGTTTCTTCAGGCTCCTGCAGAGCACTTAGTGAAACGTAGGACATAAGCCTGTCGTGGAACTTAGCCAGACGCTCGGCCTTGCTCTTCTCCACAGGGGCAATTCTCCCTCTCTTCTCCCTCCAAGTTCTTAAAGCCAAGAATTGCATTCATCTGCAAAAAAATCAATAAAACACAATTATTCTGCAATTTTTCCACAAATTTAGAATTCTGTCAAATGAAGAATCTTTTTAACAATGATTTTTGTACAAGTTATGTTCTCCAGTTTTATGATTAACCTTCAAAGGTTGAAAGGGATATGTGTGTGAGTGGATGAATGGCACTATATTGTAATCATATATTTTATTTATTAATATGAGCTCAGATGTTGAAACATGTCCTATACGCTGTTTAGCGTCACGTATAAATGTTTTACGTAGCAATTATAATTCACAGACTTCAGCTATGTATATTCAACTGAAGTTCATACCTTTCCATCAGTAATGGATGTAAAATTAAAACAAGGCATGAATTAAAACAAACCTTCAGAATAATGTCAGAGTCCTGAAAAAAAAAGTATACTGCAAGACGAGATTTGTTTAACTTCCGAACAGCATCCATAGTGACCAACAGTTCTAGCTTGTTTTATACAATTCATGCTGAATTGTTAGAGAGAAAGAAATCCAGCAAAAACTGAAAGTACGAAAGCACTTACTTGCTCTCGAGGTGGGCATCTGAATTCTCTGGTCTTCTTAGCTGCAACAGCTGATGGCATGTCAGACTGCTTGATTTCAACGTTTCTTCTCAGTTGATCCTATAATAAAAAACATTATAGGAAACAATAACATGAAACTAGCACATTACTCATAAGATTTGCTATGACCAATCTTATGTAAGAACCACAGTAACATCCCTTCTTAGAGTGAGCTATATGATGAAACAGAGAGTTAGGTTTCTTATTATAATTCTAATATTTGATTCTCTTAAAGAATTTCTTGAAGGCTCACTCACTTACGTCAAACAAGTTGCATCTTATTCTGTTTAACTACGAAACTTCAATATCATTCTAAAGCTTAACGACAACAGGATAATATTAAAAACTATACAATGAACAAACTAGTAATGAAGAAATAATTATTTCAGTATTTTTCTTCCCACTGAAAAATATATTTAACGTTCTGTGACATTTTCACGAAAGGCCCCCTTAAAAACTACACGGTTTCAGTAATCTTGATAACTTGTAAGCAGTTACTTAATCAGTCGGAAAGATAAATTACTTCAGTTTAGTTAGTGTGTAATGTAAGTCAGTGTTTTTATAATAATTTTAAAACTTAATTTCAATATAAACTTGAAACATTCTTTCACTCTAAATTCCAAGTACTAAGAACAATATTTTGTGTACAAAGTTTAGACAATTATTTAGAAAATGGAGTAGTTTGTAATTTATACCCTAGGTTCATAAAAAACTTGACAAATCTTGCAAATTTCTTGCTTTAAATAGAAATTTGAACCAGCAAACTATGGCATGTAATTAGAATAAATCATAGTTTTCTGGAAATTACTGTCTAGAAGTAGAACTTACAGTCTGAAGATCACTAATAAAATCGTGACTGAAGGCGATGGTGGATTCCACTCTGTGCCGAAGCTGAATATCACAAAGGTGATGAAGCAAGTAACACATCTGAAGTTTAGCTCCTTCAGCCATCTTCATTTGTAACAAGCCCTTCTTATGCTCATCCTTACCATCTGCAAGGCACATTTTATACATGAGCATATTTTTTACTGAAATTTGGGACAGGCAGGTACATACAGACAATTAAATTTTGTCAAAATTCTTACAAGCAATCCATCCAGATAAATTCTGGCCTAGTGTACCACTGAAGTAGGTTTTTTTATTTATTTAAGACCATATTAAACAGTCGTGACACAGTAATTCTGTTCACTGTTATGTTTGCAGTGACTTACTTATCATGTAGACAATTTTTACCAATAAATTGTCAAGATGCAGTCATATGGTCAGCAGCAGGACAACAAACTCTGAATGTAAGAAGGAGTAATAATGTTTGGCCTGCCAAGTCTCACAGCAAAATGAATAGTCTTTATCAGGGTTCTTTGTCAGTGGTCTGGTTACAGAACAGTTTATCAACAAAGAGTAGTTTCAAATCAGAAAAGTAAAAATGGCACAAGGCACACGGGTATCCCTTTCGCAGACACATGTCACGTGAATGAGTAAGCTTCATCAAAGATTATTTCAGCTGTGACTCAATCTGCTCCAGGTAGTGTCAGGAGCCTGCGCAGAATTTGAATCAAAGCCCTTCTTTCTACCTGAGGAAATAAATTTAATTTCACTCCCTCCAATGTGATAAGAGTTCATTTCAGATATCAAATCATCATGGAAAATGTGGACATTTTTGTATCGTGAACTGACAGGAAAAGATTAAAAGTTATTCATACAGCTAACTCAGTCTAAAAATAACTTCACGGACCCTGTGCCGAGGCACAAACAGTCGGGTCGTACGACACGACTACAAAACTGAGGGTTCGGGGCTAAAGAAACCTGAAATAACTGAAAATAAATGTAAAGTAGTTATGTATATAAAGACAGATTTTTACAAAAACTTTACGTTCAGGTAAATGGGTTCATTCTCAAGAATAGAGCTTTCATTTGACATTCTAAGCTTAAAAATGCGATAAATACACTGTATTTTGTAACAAGGATCACTTTGACATGGTTTATATTCCAATTAAACCGGTACATGTGCGTAGACCACAGGAATTTAAATGTCATACCTAAAACATTAATGGTTTAGTTGTATGCTAGTGTAATGCATGGCCAGCTTGAATGCACATAAACCATAATGCAAGGCCAAGAAAGGTTAATATTTAAATGCTCTCTCTTCCCAGCACTGAACGGTTAAGGTAGCTTTTATCTCAAATTATTATACACATACAAAAATTACCTT